CCTTTGCGAATACGCTTTACAATAAAGTTTTGAAATGACGCAAACGTAAGGACAAGTGCGGATGGTAAAACGGCAAATTTATTGAAAACTACAAGGTACATATTGTTACAAAATTCGAGAGTATTGCAGTTTCGATAAGAAAAAAGAAGATCTAAGCATATGCGAAGGAAGATGAAGTGGAGTCTCGCCCCGAACGCATTGATTGTCTGCTGTGGTCCGCGCGCTTGGCAGACACCAAGACGCTAGGCCCGGTTAGAAACTGTGGCGTTAAAAACCACGCGAGAGAGCTCGGGAACAAAACAGAAAGAACGAGAAAGATCCGCGGGTGTTTTATAAAAAGGGCCGCTGGCAGTATTGGACAAATTCAAGGACCTATCAAGTTTTTCAAGGACCTAAGACGTTTTTCAAGCACTTTCAAGGACCTAAATTTGGCACAAAAAAAATTCAAGGACTTTCAAGGACTCTCAAGGACCGTGGGAACCCTGTTTTTGTAAATAATTTACAACAAAAAAAAAAAAGTGTGTAGCAATAAAATATTCATAATTCAAAGTTCCAGGAGTATAATAGCGAATTATTCCGTAGAATCTTCAGTAATCTTAACCTAATACAAGACCAGTGGAGTGAATTTAACTCTACACCTACATATGGAATATTTTCGAGACGTAGAACTGTAATTCTCTACGGCATTTAGTATCCGAGTTCCTATTCTGCAGTTGATTCTTAGAACAGTTTTCAGTTTCATATGTTTATAGAAAAAGATTTATTAGTAATTGAAATTACATGCGCCTGTTTGTGTGCTTTCTGCATGAGTTACATGAAATGTTTTATTTAGAAAAAATTTAATATAAAATTTTTAGGCTTTCTCTCAAGTGAATATATATAACAGCAAGCAGCCAAAAAAAATTGAAAAGAACCTAGATAAAATGAGGATCAACATATATAAGATTTCTTCGTATATGTATCCTAATTAACTTTCAAGTGAATTTGCTGATATCAGATTATTCAGATAGTATGTAAGCATGATGTCATGCAATTTTAATTCAGATAACATGTAATTTTAATTATCAGCTAATGTAAATCAATAAATGAAGCTCTAAATTCAATTTAGCGAAATTTGACAAAATATTTTGTTTGGTTGAATTCCTGCTTTTTCTATGAAATATATACAATGGAGCACATAGATATCTCATAACTGATTAAGCACTAAAATTCATTAACTGACACCATGCGCAATTTTATTATGATTATTGGTTTATCTTATAAATGAATTTTTAAAGTGCCAATTTTTTTTAAAAGAATTGTTCAAAAAATAAAACTTTTTTCTTCCAACTTCAAATATTTACCCCTGTGTCTCAATAATACAAACAATATGTGTTTACATAATTATATAACCAAACAAATATAAATGAGCAGAAACTGCAAGTTATAAATTATTATTACTGTTAAAATATTTCACCAAGTTTGGTAATTATACTTACAGGAAATTCAGGAAGGCTATAGACCACTGGTGCTAAAACTTCAGCTACAGTTACTGAAAATATTTTATCAAAGCTAATTAATTATTTATTAAATACATACAAAATAAATGAAGTTCTGCACACATAGAGAGAGAACATAACTTTTATATTATTTCACAAATACATCTTGAACTTATTAACAGAACTTAGTTAAATAAATCTTCGTTAGATAAGCTAAGTTACCACCTAATTCCAGTTTTCTAAATTAAATACTTTCAGAGATATGATTGAAAAAAAAAATAATTAGGAAAACTATTTTGTCTGGAATGAATATAAAAAATAATAATATTAGAGTGAAAAGTAACAAATTTGATGCAATAAAGTAATAATTTTTAGCAAGTTTTTACAACTTAACAAGAAGGTTAAGAAATCATATTATTAATAGACCAACCAGTCATATTTGAAAAATGTTCAAATAAATTATAATTTTATAAGATTATGTTACAAAATAATAAAAATATGAAAGCAAAAAATTGAAGAAAATCCAGAAAAAGCCACGTCTTATCTTAAATCTTAATTACCAACACATAACTTCAATCTTCATCAATCAAAAGGAAAAGTTTCATTCAGCATATTTTTATACATTTTGAAAATTATACGATTATAAATTTTTCTCAGTATGCATATTTTTAAAAATTCTCAAAACTATAATGAAAAATCAGAAAATGATTAATGAAAATTTAGAAAAAGAGGAAAATGATAATAAAAAAAAAACACTGATCCTGACAGGAAGTCTATTGCTCTATAATTGAGATTAAGATAAATGAACTAAGCATTAGAATATTGAATGAAAGCATGGATTCAACTATTGCAGTAAGACCATGTGTAACTATTAAGTTTTCCACATAATGTGGCTGAATTAAGAAGTGGAAAGAGTCAAAAAGCACTTAAATTTCATGCAAAATCAGTTTTTATCGGTTCGAGAAATCATAGGATAAGTAAAATACAAATCAGCATTATTGGCTGCTTTCAAAGTGTTAATTCCAAGAATATAATAAATCTTTAGTTTCTATTTTCTTAACTTTATTACACATTACAAACAATAGAGTTAAATTTTTAGTTACAGTATTACAAAACAATTTGTATATTTTAACAACTAAGATGAATTTTTTTTTTTTAAAAAATATTTAGCTGACACTAAAAGTTTAAATTAAAATTTTCAGTAATCAATAGATTAAATAAATTTTACAGAAATTTCTTTTTAAAGAAAATTATTGAATTTTTTTTCAAAACTTTTTTATTTCCTTAGTTATTTATTTAATTTCGAATATATCAAAACTTACAGCCATGCTCCATTGCTCTTTTGACAGCTTCTCGGTACATATTACCTCGTCCAGTTCGTCCTTGAGGAGTGGCTATTGGTGTAGATCGTACAATCTCAACCTCTTGTGTCATCTCAGCAAACATTAAAACATGCTAGATAAAGATAAGTCAGAACAGTAAAATCATTGTAATAAGCTAAACGAAGGTGATTTGTAATTAACTTATCAATTAAGTTTATAATGGTAGCAATTTCAGTTTCAAAATAATTTTCCTAACCTGGCAACAAATATGAAACTGCATTTAGGCTTACACATAATATTTTGCATATTTTTGATAAATATAACCATTACTCCTGTTACACTGTCACAATGATGCAAGTTTAATGCTTTATAATTATATGTATGGTTAGTGCTATGAATTATTCTAGTCATTGTATACATTATGAGCTCCAAATTTTGGCATAACCAATTTAAAACATAAATGAAAAATATTTTTTTTTGAATTTTTTAAGTAACATAGAGTTTAATCGTAATATATAAATAGGAACTAAAAAATTAACGAAAAGGGCTAACTGGAAATGTAAAATTCCCAGCCACTGCATATATATTTGTGTGTACATATACATTTACATGATTAGTACACAAATGAGAATATCTCCAATAAATTTACGACTCAAGTGTTTTGGTATTCAGGAAAATGGAAAAAACAATTTTCCTCCAAATCACTGCAATATTTGATGAAAGAGTCCTAAACTACTTACTCAACAAAAACCTGTCAAATCTTGTAAGTTAAAAGTCAACGCATACAAGCATTTGAAAGCTTCACCAAACAAATCTTATACTTATGTTATATTACAGAAGAGAAACACTATAATGATGAATATTAAATCAAAATACATGTTGTCAAAAATAATATTTGCACATATATTTTTGAATGTATTATTTTTTTCAAAATTGTATTTAGTATATTGTATAGCAAAATCATTAATTTTTTTTTTTTGAAACAGTAAAAAAAAAAAAAAAATCATATGAACCTGTTCAAAAATATATGAATAAAACTATATATTCAATAAAACTTATTTATTCACCTAATATAAACTTCCCTAAAATAAGCAAAAATAATAAATATTAATGAAGAGGAGAGGGTAACTTACAGTATTTTCTATATAATCATCTTCTCTAGGATTTACACACAGCACCATTCGAATTTTCCCTTCACCTTCAAAGAAGGTTGAAAATAAATGGGTTAGTTTACTGTCTCTATACTGAACTTTCTAAAAGAAAAAAAAAAAATTTTAGAACAAAGAGAAAAGTAGTGTTTAAATATATTTATAAGTACAGTTATAACAAAAGATATAAAAAGGCCTAAGATACTTGAAAGCATTGTATAAGACAAAGCACAAACCAAAAAACAATGAATTTTTAATTAGGGGAAACATTAAACACATTTCTCAAAAATCGAAACATATCTGTTTATTATGTAGGACATAATTTACTTTAAGTTTTGACATCAATATCAACCTCACACTAGTTTACAAATTCAGTTAAAATTATGTGTCATTTATGCGAAGTTCCTTAAAATTATTCAGCTAAGCAAAAGAAATAAATATTTTTACAATTCTTATTTTTTGAAATAATAGATATTTAAATGCTTTGCTTTTTTTTTTTTTTAAATTTTATAATTGTTTAATAAAGTTTTGAGTTTTAGGAACAGCAACCTAGGCCTCAAAAAGTATTTCAATGTTTAGAAAGAATGCACAAGAGTTAAGAGACATTGATATGTTTCTGAAAATTAACATATCTGTGTTTATGTTTAGAAAATATATAAAAAGTATACGAAGAGAACACATCAAATGGCATTACGTTAACGAACAGGTTATGACTGGTTGCAACAATACAATAAAAAATTTACTTATTCTGCAAAATATTTAAAGGTGGTATAAAAAATAAAAAAAAGAGAAAAGATGTTTTGCATATAACTTTAACATTTCTTAATACATTCATAAATGGTATTTTTCCATATGATCTGAAATTTGAGAAAATCTAGTTCTTTTTTTTAATTTTATTTATTAAAATATCATTTAACAGGTTTTTCCTAAAAGCTCTAAGTTAAATTTATTACATATATTAATAAAAACATCAGTGCGATAACTTAGAGCTAAACATTTTATATCAGCCACTTACTTGAGTTGAGCCGTTGGATTTTTGGGAGTTCCGCAATGCTTCAATGCAAGCTCTTAGATGCATCAAAGAACTATTGATATTACCTAAATAAAAAGTTATTTGTTTAAAAAGCGGAGAACAACAGCATTTAAAAAATTTGTTAATAAGATTAATCAATCAAACAATGCTGCATAGCTGTATGGTTCTGTAATTTTTATTTGTTTCAGATTTTTTTTAAAATTTCTTATCTTTATGTCTAGATATTTTCATTCATATTCATTTTAAGCCTTTTTACCAAAAATAAAAATGCATTCAGACTCCATAAATGTCATACTTAGTAAATAATTAATTGCGAACAAACACTAGATTTTGTTTAATCTGGATACAAGAATTAAGTGGTGAAGCCATACTGTAATATGCAGAAACCATTTAACGATCACATAGTACAAGACAATATATAGCAATATTTTTTTAAATAACAAGCACAACTTATAAAACAACAATAAATGATTATTTTGTAACAAAAATCATATACTGTAATGATCGGAAACAATTCATGACACAATCAATTGAAATAAATCTATCAAACATGAACAGCAATATTTTTGTTAACAACACACACAACTTGTTAACAAGATACAAATTATATAATTTTGCTTCTGTACTAAGTTCAATATATAAGTAAAGACTACCTGCTTCACTTTTATTCTTGTGGTTAACAATATTTGTTCTTCGAGCACGTTCACTGCCAGCCAGATCAACGAGAGATAGTTGACTAATAATCACTTTATCATCATCCTAAAAAATGCAATGTTTATGGTATTATAATATATGTGGACTTCGATAGCTATTCAAAGAGAAATATGATAGAAACAGGGGGTGATAGTGACACAAAGGTAAAAAAATTAGGAACAAAAAATAGATATCAAGATGTCCATTTATATACCAAACATGCTTCATATTTAATATAATTTTTTGAACTAGTATTTATAATTAAAATAAATACTAAAGACATATCACACCTTTATAGTGACAAATTCAAGAAAAAACTTACCTTTTACAAGAATCTGCAATACTGGATTTTATAATCACAAGGAATGGAGAAGATTTAACAAGCATTTTTTCCCCCCAAGCTTGTGATGCCAAAAAATTGCAGTTAGTCCTCATTTTAGTGGGAGGTTAGTATTTTTATACGCTAATCAAAATAACTTATAATGTTTATTGTTTGAAAAGGGGCCTGTTCTAAGAAGTAATGTTTTATATAGTTGTTCTGAATGTTATAAGCTAAAACATTATACGGTAGAATGCTCAAGGGTTGAAAAAGAAAGAAGTCAAATTATTTCAAACAAATAAAAGATAACTGAATATTAAAGATAAAACGACATAACTCAAAAATTTATATGCTAACGACAACCAACAAAGATCAATGTGAAACCACTACTTCTTCTTTCTTATCCCCAAAATTAGCAGGGCTAAACAATGTCCATAAAATTCATGACCCGGAGGATGTCGGCCACCAAAAGTGGGTTATTTAGTATGTCTCTCTTGTCCAGTCCAGGATATGTTGGGGAGAAGCCTGCATGTTGTGGCACCTGGGGCAGTTTGGGAAGATTTTAATACTATCCTCGAAGGAAAGATACTTAAGGTGGCAGCTGGTAAGTGCCGTCTGGTTCTTGCGGTTGCACCGAATGTTGAGTGCGCCTCCTGGACGGGTGCTCTGGTACCAGTGATGTTTGGGGAGTACGAGCCAGGAAACATTGTCTTCTTTTTTCTTTTTCGATGCCAGTTCCATGAAGGTGAGTGAATTTTGACTCAAAGTTTCTTCTGTCCCCTCCTTAGCCAGAGTCTCGGCGATATCATTGCCCAGAACCCTAACGTGAGAAGGGATCCACTGGAGACGGACTTCACTCAATCGTGAGAGAATTTTAAGTTGTGAAACCACTAAATGAGTTTATGAATGCAGACCAACTGCAGGATGCTAATACTTTTAAAAATTAGCTAGAAATAAAAATTATAAGTATTAATCTTATTATCTTATTTACCTCTACAATATTTTGGCCCAAATCATCCAAGGGTGCTTGCACAACTCGAATGGTAAATACACTATGGCTTCGACTTGACTCAGAGTTAAGAGCAGTGATGGCAACTTTCCTTCTGACTTGTCCTTTCATGAAAAGTTCCAGAGCCTCATCTACAGTTTTAGCCTCATTTACAGAAGCCTCATAAACATACATATTGTTATTAGAATCCTTGCGAATTTGTTTTGAAGTAAAATTTCTGTAAACAAAGTACACATTTCAGTTTCAAAACACAGTAATATTTTAAGCATATAATACATGCTAAAACAAATACATTTGTCTAAAATTACTGAAATAATTTTATTTTTACAATTAATTTTTGTAAGAAATATTGTGTTTATGTAGTATTTGGTGCTTGAACTGCATTGAAGAAAATTTTTGGTCTACCTGAATATTTATAAAGTATTTGGTTTCATACAATTCTATATTAGAGCTCAAAATTAGGGATGTAAGAAATAGTGATTTCGTTGAATAGCCAAATACAGAATATTTGGTCGAATATAGAATGGTTTTTAAAAAAATTATTAATAAATATTTTTTATATTGAAATAAGTTAGTCATTAAAAATAATTAAAACTTAGATGAATTATTAGTATGGAGTAAAGATTAAAAAAAACTTTAATATTAATATTTAAGAGAATAAAGATAATTAGATATTTTTAAAAAAAACGAAGAAAAAAAAAGCGACTTACAACTATTTTCCCCATGTTTTCAACTTATATAAAAAGTAAAGTTGTAAAGTTTGAAGAAAAATACAAAAAAAATAACTTTTTAATTCTTAAAACAAAGTTAAAGCTAGAAGTAATATTTTCTGGAAAAGAAAAAAAATCTAGAAAACATTAAAAGAGATAATGTCTGTCAGAAACACTGTTAAAAATGCAGCTCTATCATAACAACTCCCATTTAAAAAAATAAAAATAATATATATGTACGAAAACAGAATATTGAAAATCTAATTACAAACAGCAAGACATAGTTTTATTGCAAATTTGTTGCTGTTTGAAAACAAATACAGTACAGAACCCGTAATCCGGAAATCAGAAAACCGGAAAACCAAAAAACCGGAATGAAATTTGATAAATTTTCCCGCCATTTTTTTAAAGAATATTTTTTTTGCTCATAAGATTTTAGGATTTTTTCTTTCTTTTTTGAAAGATGTTTACCTTACCATCATTTTGGAAATAATCATTAGTGTATTACTTCATCGTTTTTTCTTCTTTTTAAGATTATTTCCAAAAAAATTGTTTTTTTTAGTTGGGTTTAACAATAAAAAAAACGGCTTTTTGCAGCGATTCAGAAAACCGGAAAAATCAGTTATCCGGAATAGCGATGGTCCCGATCGTTCCGGATAATCGGTTCCCTACTGTATAAAGCTTATTGAATTCACTTTTTTTTACCCTAGTAACACCCCACTTCAATATCAAAATGAATTAATTGAAATACACATGAATTAATTTCACAAAACCGAAATTTACCAATGAGTGGGTCAATAAACTAAAAATTTCTTACACTGTATACATTTCTTATTTGTCGAAAAGAAAAAAATAATAAATAAATAAAAGCTGTTGCATTTAGCACTTGAGAAACGAATTTTCTGGAGCTAAAAAAAATTAATCATGCATCTAAGAACAAAGAAAATCATCTTAAAAGAAATTTCAATACCTTTTTCTCAGACTATCATCAGATATATCTTCTAAAAGATCATACACATAGTTATTGTAGATTTCAACATAAGATATGAATACAGAGTATCTCATATCACTACAAATGTCTTCAATTATATTACAATCTGGCATACGGTTATTCCATCTGTTAATATCTCTTCTGCAAATAATAAAGAAACACAATATTTTTTATATTGTTATAACTTTAAGGATTAAAAATTGTCAAATTATAAACAAATTCTGAAATGTAACTCTTTGCATTACATAGTTATATTTGACATTAAAGTTGTTAAGTAAAGGCTTTTAGACACCTTTATTCTTTATCACAGAATTTTTCATTGCGCTCCTAAAATTTTCTCTCATTTTTTAAAATTATTATAAAATTTGACATGCAAACAAAATAGACTTTTCCTTCATGCTCTTCTTTTCAAAACAGATACACAAAATAAGTGAAAAACAAAAATGCTAATACAGTATACTCCCGATTATTTGGTCAATACACGAGTGTAAAACTGAAATTTGAATAATGACTCTTTCTAGTTCTTTAAAGATATTGTTATAATAATTTTAAAGTATTCATTATTTTGTACAAATTATTCATTTTAAGATATGTAGCATGAGTTTTTAATTATATGGGAGAGAGTATGGGAAGTGAAACTCCATTCTACCCAGCATTTTTGTTACCTAACCTACCCTTTTACCACAATAGACTGGATCAGTGTTCTTAGTGGCCTACGAAAAAACTTTGATAAATCTACAGAGTTAGTAAAATGAAAAGAATGTTAGCTAAATAATTTTGCTCTTCCCTTCTTACTGATCTGTATACAATCACCAGCAGAAACTACGAAAACAAATTATACTTTAGAATATCAAGAAGAAAAAAAAGGCAATAAGATTCTTGTAAAATACAAATGTTCGAATCAAGTTAACTCTAGTTTATGGAATGGTACATTAATGGGCTTATTAAATAAATAAAAAATATTTCTGATGAAATCAAATTGCGAATAACAATTAACATAAAACAATACTCAATTCTTATTAGTATTTGTCTGTTCTTCCTAGATCCGTACACATCAAATGCATTTTTGAAAGTGTACAATGCTGTAGTGTAAATGTTCACACAAGCAGATATTATAAAATTTACATTTCTCTATACATTCAAAGTCTAAATTTCGTTTTATTTGTGTTAATAACACTGAACCCTGTCTAGCAATCTACATTACTGCAGAAAAGTGCACCACGTTGTATATTATTCGATACACTCACTGTAAATTATTTCTTTTAAGAAAATTAACAATCCTTTGTAAATTTTTTCAAAAAATAAAATATTTTTTGTATCTTTCTCTATTTACGAACGTGGCAATTTCGCCACCAAATGATGCCTTTTGTCGCGATTTGACCCAATAGCGAGAACCCTGGCCCAGATAGTCAGGAGTCAACGATACAAACACAATAAGCAATGATGTCGAATCAAAAACAGGCATTATATCTCATAAACTAATGTTGTGAATGAAAAAAAAACATTTAACAGCGTAACTCTTAAATGGAAATACTTATTGCATTTTGACAAAATGGCGATAATGAATTGTGAAAATACTTAAGTAAACAGATTAATGACCAATGGAATTACTTGTTTCATTTCATTTAAATATTCAAAGTAATTACCCTGACACTCCTCTTTACAAAGAGTATAAATTTTAATTATAGTGCGGCTTCGAGGAGAACTCCTCCAGACTGAAAGTCTAGGGCAGTCTGCTGCTATGGTAACAAGCGAGAGCACATTTCTAATGGGGTGAAATGGAGGAAAGAAGGTGGTTTACTCACGACGACCTACGCTAAGATAAAAACAAAACTATTTCACCCCTATTCGAAGTGACTTTTCCTCGTAACCATAGAACCCGCCACGAGGCGAGACGTGCGTCTGGAGGAGTTCTCCTGAAAGCCTATAGCACTATACCAATATTTTGATATAATTAAAATTGCTCAAGTAAATAATGTAATGCTGAATTCATTTGTGTTTACATCAGGGTTGGAGTTTTTGCCGGCAAAAAGGGGTTTTTGCCAGGACAGTGGCAAAAACCTGGTAAAAACCGGCAAAAACTGGTAAAAACCGGCAAAAACCAAATTATCTAAATTGCTGATTAAATATTATTACAAAATACTTGAAACAAATTTAAATCAATCATAAGGAATAATAATTTTGATACATTACATGAAAAAATTATTTTTAACATATTAATAATTAATATAATGGTAATAATTTTTAAAAGATTGAAAGTTTGTGATCTCTTTTCATTTTAGAATCCTAAAATAAATGTTTTTTTACAAATAAATAAATATTATTATTTGTATAATATTATTATTTATTATAAAAAATTATTATTTGTACAATAATTAACTACACATATTGATAGATATTTTATGCTTTAAATTATAGTTATATTAATTTAAAATAAGCTCATTTCACTGGGAAAAAAAAAGAATAATCACAAATTTTCCAATCAATAATGTTTTAAACTACTAGAATGATATTATTACATTATCATTTACTTATGGAATAATAATTTTGTTAATTTTTTTGTAATTATTTATATTTATAGTATATATTCCAATTTTAGGAATAATGTTGTATCAAAAATGTGTTTTTGTCCTCTCATCTTGGAAAATATAGGTTTTTGCCCCTTTTTGCCAATTTGCTTGGCAAAAACCTGTTTTTGCCAGGATGGTTTTTACCGGTATTTACCATGGTTTTTTCCACATGCGGCAAAATCTTGCCAACCCTGGTTTACATCAATGCATTGTATTGATATATTTTATGTTATCTAGATTTTTATGTCATTTACATGATTAAATAATAAAATATCTTGTACTGCATTTATTTTTATAAATTTATGTCATTCAAACTGAGCTTCATTTTCAACAACAACTAACCCCTTAGGTTTTGGTGTTCTGGCAACATAACTGGGCTCTTTTAGACGATCTCTAAAGGCTTCTTCTGAAGACTGTATTTCAAATCCATTGACTCTATTAGGTTTAAAAATCTAAAAGAAAGTAAAAACACATAAAAGAAATTTATAAGTTAACCAAGATACTTATCAAATCCTCAAAACTATGTAAGCCAGTCCTATGATTCTTGATTTCATTTTTACTAGACAGGATAATTGAAAGACATTCTAATAATTCTAAATATATTTATATATATTCATTCCAGGGTGAGAAATTAGGAAAATTTAGAAATTTAGTCACTAGTTTTGAAAACAGTAAATAAAAGGTTTTACTACTCCTGAAACATTTTTCCAGGGTGCGTAGCCAAATTATTCAACAAAAAATAAGCACCTTTTAAGCACTTTTCACGCACTGAAACAATATTTTTAAGCACTTTAAAAAAATATCATAACTAGGCAGGGTTGGAAAGTTTTTGACAATTGGGGGCTTCATCTGGTTTTAACCATCATGCCAAAAAAAGAAAAAAAAAACCTTTGGCATTGTGTTTGACAATTGTGTCAAAAATCTTGAAGTTTTGAATCCTGTAAAACGAATGGCGATTTCATATGCTACGGACTGACAGTACGTCGAAATAGATTGGGGTTGAATTAATTAGAAAAACATTGAATAGAACAATGTGAACTGTGTCTTTTTGCATAATTCGTAATGAAAATCAACATGGTAAAGGAAAAATGGAAAAATCTTATTTTGAAAAAGGGGAAATTAAGCACTTTTTAAAAACATCCAATGAAAAAAGCACCTTTAAGGGCTTTTAAAAAACAAAAATTAAAAATAAGCACCTTTAAGCACTTTAAAAAAAGCTATGCACCCTGTTTTCTCAAGTTTGTTCATACAACTCTAATTATACATTAAAAATAATAATAATAATACAAAACAGATTTTACAAATATCAACTTTATGAAAAACTTTCATTAAACAAATTCAATTGAAGACAGATTTTAGAGATGTTGATGTTTCTCATCTTCTCCATCTCAGTAATTATTCGTAAGATTTTGATAGCATTTTTTATCTTCCCATTTAAAGTTAAGACTTCTAATAAGCATACTTTTTTCACTTCATTTTCAAGAAGTTAAAAGTATATTATATAGGCAACAATTACTCTGCAATATGAACTCTCCTAACCTTCATCAGTTAACATGCACATTCAAAATTATTATATCTACTGATAGACAAAAGTAGAATTTCAAAGCAAGAAAAAGTTATATTTGAGCTATCAAGGCTTTTTACTAGGACTGATCAAACAGCTGCATCAAGGAAAAGCAACCATATAATTTGATACTCAAAATTCTTATTTTTTTCCTTCAGCCATTAATAAAAAGAAAAAATTGTTATAATATTTAAAGTTTAGTTATAATTTTGCCTGCATTTAATTGATGCCTTGCCTATTATGTTTGAACACTCAAACTCCTAAATTCTATTTTCTGAGTAACTACTATTGTTAATTTTAAGATTTCACTAAATTCTTTGAGGTCTTCTGGTGCTGCTATGGATCGCCACCACGCCTACCTTTTTGAATCCTTTTTTACTTTTGCTAAGAGATCACGTGCGCACACTTAGAGCATTCTGTATTCTCCGGATGCCCCCTGACGGGGTTAAGTTCTGATAATCTTGCCTGCATATATCCGATGGCAGGCTAATTATTTAAAAAGTTTTGCAATGTATTCCGCTTTATGCATCCTTAGGGATGCAACAGAACTTATTTTTTGCAGCCCCTTAATGATTTTCGGCATATTTAACACTGCAAGCACCTTAAATACAAACTTTTAAGTAAAAGGGTTTCTGTAAAATTATTTTACAATCAAACCATAAAAATCCCATTAACTAAACTATTAAAACTAAAAGCAAAATATAAAGGATTACATATTTTTCAGCTTGATAATCAGAAATGCTGTTGAATATAACATCTAAAGACCTCGGCAACAAGCCACCATCTTCAGGAGTTCCAGTCATTGTGTAAGTCTTTCCTGAAGAAGTTACACCATAGGTGAATAAAAGTCCTGAAATTAGAGAATCACAAACTATTTAGTTTTTATGCATCATCAAATAGGACTTTCATGTACCAAATTAGTGCCTCCCCCCGCTTTATTGAGTAAAACCAAATAAATTGTTTACTTTTATAAGCAAAAATGTATTTAAATGTCTTTAAAAAAAATTATTGTACTAAAAAAAAGAGAAGAAAAAAAACATGCTAAAATTTTTTCGGAGAAATTTTGATTTATAAAAAGATTTGTTCTGAGGATGGGTTGGATTAACTTATTGTATAAATTATTTTACACATTTTTATTTATAATTTTTAATATTTTCTACAAAAAGATAGTTTAATGTCAAAACAATTCAAGAGCATTGATTGATCACTTATAATTTTACATGTATGTAATTTATAAATACTTCATATATAATATTAATAATTACCCTCACACCAAAAACTACAGGATTTTTTCAAGACAAATAAAACCAAGGTTAAAACTGGATTAAACCGTTAAATGTCAAAACTTACAAACTCTAATGATTACAAAGAAAATTCATGAAATTGCCCAACACAATTGTTTCATTTTTAAAACAAAATCTAAATGTCTAGCTGCTACTGTAGTAATTATTCAATAAAACATTAAACTTATTTAATCATGGTATATCATTTTCCCAGAGGAAAATTTTCTTCTTAGTAAAGCGTTTAATAAAATATGTCTCAATAAATCGAAAAAACCACTTCTGGTACTGTGGTGATTGTGAGCCCAAGTCAAATTCCAGATAATTTCATAAGTTTAAAAAAAAAAAAAAAAAAAAGTTTAAATTGAAAAATTAGAAAAAAATTTAAAGAAGTTTTTTTTTTTCTTTTTCTCAATATTTCTTAGTTTGCTCAAAATATATTTAAAGTTTTACATATACCTATACCATTTACACATACCAATGATAACCTGGAGAAGTAATTAAAATTTACAAATACGTCTTTCTTTCTTGAGATTATGATTATAATAATTATTTACTAAAATAAAAAAATGAATATTAATCATGAGTATAAGCTTATAAAGTATCTGGCTCTTTCCCTTACAAGCAAATAAAATGAACTGTGCTTTTAAGTTCTACCTTTGAAAATTCGATTTCCGGAAACTTCTGTGATAAATGATTTTTTTAAACGTCTGGATCACGGTTAGTGAAAAATCCGAAAGTCCAGATTTTTTCCGGAGCACAATCAGCCCTGACTGAATGTCCTAATTTTGACTTACTAGTTTTATTATTTTTCTTAAAAATAGAAAGATGGTGAAATTTTCTTTCATGCCTCATTAGTACACACATTATTACAAAATTAAGATTAATTTTAAAAATATAGACAAATCCTGCAAAATTAAATTTTTGTTTATGCATTATTATTACAAGAAATTAAAATCTTACCATTGTAACCTTGTAGAAGATCTTGTACTAAAGGCAGTGCAACATGATCAAAGAGCTCCTTTTGAGTTGTTTCCTCCCCAAAAACATAAGAAAAGGAATGCTGAAAAAGGCAAGAAATAATTAGAGAAAATTAGCAGGCTGTTTACAATGACTATCGGAAAACTTTTATTAAAGACATTCAACTCTCTTTGATTACAAAAGTAATTAAATTTAGAAGAAAATATTAACCATCTCTTCAAAAAAAAAAAAAAAAAAAANAAAAAAAAAAAAAAAAAATACCCCGTAAATGTAAGCAGAATTCATTAAATTTGGAGTTGTTATTCAGAGTTGGATTCAAACATTTTCTGTTTCCAACTTCACAGCTCTGATCAAGACAATGAAATAAACTGAATATATATAATAAACTGAAAAACATAAACCTACAAAATTAAGTCCGACAAAAAAAATTTTAAAGCCCCAGAAAAATCCAAAATTTTAGTGTAAGGATAAAAATTAACTATTATAAATAAGAAGTATTTATAAATAAACACATGTATAAAATTATAAATGATCAATCAATTATGTTCTTGAATTATTTTGATATTAAACTCTTCTTTTGACAATTACTGTCAATAACCCAAATATATGTGTAGAAAATAGTAAATAATTAGAAAAAAAATAAGTAAAATTTAAATTTATCCAATCTGGTCATTTGTAAAAATATTTGAAATCAAAATACGTAAGCCATCAGCTTAATTAAAAGAAAAGAAAAAAAAACACTTAACAGCCATCTTCTTTATTATATCTAAAATCATTTTCATTTACTCCCATTTTAACTCCTCCTTTCCCTAAAGCATGCAACTACAAAACTTTCCCCAAAGCATGTCCTTTGTACTCCAAATTCATTTTCCTGTTTTGTATGAATAAGACCGATATTTAAAACTATTCTTTCAATTGATGCTGAGCTGCATAGTGCAGAAAGTAGAGATACTAAAGCTATTGTAACATAATAAAAAAACATGGTACTAGGAAGTTTATTTTAATAACTATAAAATAGTGATTTAGTAAAACCATTGAATTCATTAATTGAAAAAACTATTAACTAATTTAAACATTAACAATTTTTATAAATTTTAATTAGTTCATTAATCAGTGAACTTAATAAACTAAGAATTTTAACTCTTTTTTTCAAAAAAATAAAAATTTTGGAAAATAAAATTTATAAATAAAAAAAATCATTTGATTTTACACAATTCTTGAAACAAGCATACGTATTATAAAATAGAAATTAAAATAGATTGAAATAGTAATAATTTATTCAATAAACTAATATAAATAGTAATAATTAAATTTAAGGTCTTATTAACTAAAGAAATTCATACTAATAAATATACATTTGACATGTTTTTTTAACAAGAAAAAATTTTGTAAAGCAACACATTTTTAGACAAAAAATTTTGTAGAAATTTTTTTAGACCAAAAATTTCCCCATGGCTGCCTGAATTTCCTTTTGTGTGGCTATACATATTCTACTTACCTGAATATAATTAATAATAACAAATATTGAGAATTAATAAAAAAAATTATACAGTGAGATCAGATAATTATTGGAGAACGCTTTAATTTAATTTAATCAACAAAAAATCTGCCTAAATTACAACATAAAAGAATTAAAATCAATATTTATATCAATAATAAACAACTCATAGTTATGACTTATAATATAAACCAAATAGTTATAATAAGGGTCTTAAAGTATGAAGATTTTCATTAGAAAAACCATTAATAGTTTCAATAATTTTTGCAACATTTTTCAAATATGATATATGATAAATCATAATTATATTTGTATATAATGGTACATGATTTAGTATCTAATAAAATGTCTTCTTCTTGGACATTACAGACTATGACAGGCCAAGGCCGTCCCACTAAGTATTTGTCATCTTGATCTATTCTGTGCCATGGCCTTCCAGTTAGTTATTCCTATTATCTTTAGGTCCCTCAACTGCATCAAGCCACCTATTACTTTACAAAATGAAACTGAATGATAAAGAAATATATTTAGAATAAATTTAAACTGATGAAAAATCAGTATAATACAACTAAAGACTCATAATAAAATATCAAATAAATCTAGTACTCAAATAAAAATAATTCTTTTTAAATCCATGAGTTTTTTTTAAAAAAAATAAGTTGATTCTACAATTTAAATCAATGAACTCTGGCACCAAAAATATGCTTCTGTATCAATATGGCCCATATTTACTAGATAAAAAAATATATACAGTACAGAACCCGTTATCCGGAAATCAGAAAACCGGAAAACCGGAACGAAATTTGATAAATTTTCCCGCTATTTTTAAAAAAAATAAATTTTTTTTCCTCATAAGATTTTAGGATTTTTCTTTCTTTTTTGAAAGATGTTTACCCTAGCATCATTTTGGAAATAATCATTAGTGTATTAATTCGTTTTTTCAAGATTATTTCCAAATATTTTTTTTTATTTGGGTTTAACAGTAAAAAAACGACTTTCTGTAGCGATTCAGTAAAACGGAAAAATCAGTTATCCGGAATAGCGATGGTCCCGATCGTTCCGGATAATCGGTTTCCTACTGTACTAACATATTAATTTTATGCAAATGAATAAAGACATATTTTGAATATAAATAAAACAGTAATATACTCACTACACTGGTTTTTCCTTTAGAAAGGGAATTTGTTCCTGATAACACAACAGTTTTATTATCTCGTCGTGTTAGACACACTGGATCAGAACCGAACAATGGACGAATGCGACAATAGACAACAATAGGATCCTTGTTTGGAGATGCAAATCTAGCCGGCGTTTTTCGACCAGGTGTTTTAGGACGGCTAAAACCAAATTAAAAACGAAGTTTAAAATTGAATGTTACATTAGTAGAGTAACATAAGTTGTCTGACAGAAGTTAAAAATCAGACTTAAAATTGCAAAAAGGGAAAAACAAAGAGAAACCATGAGAAATATAAACAAAAATTAATAAATTACATAGTTTAGTATTTTCAAATATGCGCCGGAATTAGTGAACACTAGTGTTTTCCTTTAGTTTTTTTAGAAGGGTGCCCCAACCCGCCTGCGCTTTTAACCCTGTAAATGCGCCATCCTTGCCCTTTTTATAGAAATAAACCACCATCCCTTTAGAACGCTGTATTTTTATTTTATTTTTTCATGAAAAGGTTCTTTTTTAACCACCTACTTTAATAAAAAGTCCATTTCAGATTCATTTAGCTATTGCTAATTATTTATTCTGAAAACTAACATTAAACTTCAGAATCTAAGAATTTTCTAATCTAAATATCTACTCACATTTTGAATCAGAGAACTCTTACTCCTTCTCTTTCCTTCTATTCATAAACAAGGCCCATGCTAAGAACTTCAAATTACTAACCATAACTATTCAGCCACAGATCACAATAAGGAAATCTAAAAACTAGGGTGACCTGGGGTAATTCCTGATCAAAAAATGCTAACATCTATTTTGTAAGAAAACTATTAAAGATAGAATTATAATATTTACTGGAAGTTTGAGGCTATAGGAGATGAGTTCTAGGTTACCTTGTTTTGTTTGAAAATCTAATTAGAATTTAAAATATTTTAAATTTTTAGTGATCAGGAATTACCCCTTCTCTTGATCCTTTCTGGGGTACCTAATTCCTGATCACTTTTGGGGTAATTACTGATCACCAGTTTTAATCATAAAGGGGCTGTTTAAAAATAATTATACAGTGGTAATAACAAATAAGACATCAAGATCAAACAAATAAATCAAAAATATATGTTTAAGCAGCTAATAAAACGATTTATGTAAAAAGCAAAAATAAAGGTTAACACTTTAAATTTTCCAAAAATCTTTGTATCGTGCAGGCAAGCAGCCAAGCTTTTCAGGCAAGCAGCCAACTCATTCTTATGTTCTGCTGGAATATAAGAAAGAGTTTCCACATGGGTTACTTTTGCTGGATTTTGTAACTTTATTAAGGGAGAGTGTAAAGTTAAGTAAAGTATGTCAACAGCTCTGGCAGCAGCTCTCACACTGAAATTTTCAATCATTAAAAGAAATTTACTAATTAAGAAATTTTAATTACTAGAGCTGATTTTGCTTTCTAGAAGCTTAGTATCCTTTTTAGGCTTATAATTTCTCACCATATTTATATTAGGCTAATTTATAAACTTAAAAATTATTCTAACAATGTACACGCCTAAAATTAAGATAGAAGCTAGGTAAGACAAATCGGAACACATTAATCTAGCATACGGTTAAAAACAAACTTTGTGATTAAATTGAGTTAAAATATATTTTATAGTCATTCCTCTTGATAAATATGAACTGTTACTTAAGAAAAGACAATTAGCTTATTTTAATACTATTTATGAAAAGAAATGACAATGATCAGGAATTACCCCAGTGATCAATAATTATCCCATCTGTAGGGGGCAACATTTGATATAGTTTCCTACAATCAATTATAATGTTTACAGTAGATGTGAAACAATTAAACAAGAGCTTACACTACTTTCATATCAAAGAAAAAGAAAGTAACTCAAAATATTTATTATTAAGAGAAGGAGGGAGATCTTTGCAGAAATGTGCACTTTTTGAAACCCATTTTTGAAATGGAAAATACAGAAAGCAGTTTAAAGAGATACTTATTTTGTTAGATTAAACAAGAAACTAAACTAAGAACTTAAGTAAATGTAGTTATACCTTAGTAAAGTGTACAAGCATTCTTGTCCATATCTCAAATTTAGAAAAAAATTATTTTTTTAAAATAAAACTTAGGTGATCATTATTTACCCCAGAAACAGAGTGATCCTGATTGATATTCAAGTTCAGAAATTAAGTGCAACTCTTCCTTATGTTTTATATTGTATAAATTTATAATAAAAGTATACATTTAGTTTATTGTGTTAGAATTAAATTGAGTCACGGGTTTTAGGAGAATGTTTTTGTTTGTTTTCTGGCGCGAACACTAAATTAACGTAAAAACATTTCTAAACATTTTTGTAACTGAAATTTCACACAAGATAGGAGAATCTAAAAGTTCTCAATATAAAAATTGTTTTACACTTTGGTAATAAACAATTAAATCTATTTTAATACATAATAATAAATACAATAACCCATCATAAATTGAAAATGATTAAAAAATCTAAAAATCACTAACTTGGGCTTCATTATAATTAGAAATTTTTAAAATCTCTTACGACTTCAAAATATTCGACAAACAAGAATTACTTAAAACACCATATTTTAATACAACAGTTGTTTATTATCAGCTTTGATTTTCAAATTAAAATCGGCGGAATTATGGGAACAACGAAAGTCACAGTGATTTTAACATTCATAAATGCGGTTAAGAAAATAAATAAATATTTTAAGCAGTTTAAGAACTATTCTCACTGCGTACAAAGCATTGCACGTCTGCACGTTCTGAGATATGAATGAGAACCTGATTGGAGAAAATATATTTACCTCCCAAAAACTCACCAATCAGGTTCTCATTATCTAGCAACTTTTTCTCATACAGCGGGAATGGCTCTTGAGAAGGATATTTTTTTTTATTCATAGATAATTCATTTTATTAAATTAATTTTAAATACCATAAAAATCGCTTTTTACATTTTAAGAAACATTGATTATTACGAAAACATTCGCCCTGCAAGCGATCACCAACCATACACAAAGAATAACCTGATTAGTCGGCGGACCCTAAAATAATGTCGCTTCGGCGCATTAAATATCCGTTATCGGCGCATTAAATAGGCATTGAAAGGTTATTCGCGATCGCAACACTCGAATACGCCATCTGGGGAGAGACCGGTTTCATGCCTTTAGCCCTTCTCCCTTCCCTCTCTTCCTCTTTTCAGTTGTATAGGAATGTACTACGATAATTTGCTTTTTTTTAATATTTTTCCTTTTTATTTAATAAAACTATTTTTTAAAATTTCTATGATACTTTTCTTTAGAACTATGTTTAATGTAGTTTCCAGTTCCATATAGTTTTTCAAGTTAAAAGATTTTAATCTATGTGAAAATCAAGAGAGAAACTAACATACTTCCTTCCTCTATGACTTTCCACACGCTAATGGGGAAAGCATGTGAAGTGTTGCCATAGGAAAAGAGTTCTGCTCTACGCCACCTGCAGCCCATTTCGATCGCCAATTGCTATCGAGGGTGAATACATTATTGATTAAATATGAAATCAACAAACAGCAAATGTATCAAACGGCATTACTTTCCAGTCCACCTATAATGCTTTAGGCCATACTAAATTAAAGCAGCAAGCTATTTATTTTCGGGTGAATTTCTTTCACCAATCAAGTTCTCACTCGCTTGTGAAAAAAGTAGCAGGAAGTGAGATTTTAATAATTTTGATCCTCTACAGAGGATGGCTGCCCCGCTTTGATAGCCCGTGAAAGTGAATGAAGTTAAGCACTTTAGAGTAACAAAAGGTCTGATACCGTGCACTCTCAACCTTCGCATGCTGATCAAAGCTGTATCCAACCGTATCCAGATCTTGACAGTCAACATGAGAATTACCATTGCAATCCTTTGGAAATCTCACAATTTTTTTCATTCATTCGTCAATAATTATTAAGGGATTGACTTTAAGAAATTTCTAATTACTTTGGTAAACTTATACCCATTGACTACAACGCCGAAACAACTGTATCTTTAAACAATATTGATTAACAATACACTACATTTAGAGCAAAAACTGAGCATTGGAGAAAGTCTCCCTAACTTCGATACCTGTGGTTGTGTTATATTTCAGAAAAATACCTTCCGACGGTTTTATTAAACTTAAGGAAGTTGAAACAATAACAAGGGATTTAACTGCATGTTCAAAATATGAGCATTTAAAGTAAACATAGTTTTTCAATGAACAGAAAACACAAATCTTGATTTTTAAATTTTTCAAGGACCAATTCCTTTGGATTATACCTAACACTCCTTACCAGTTTGTTTTAAGTGGCATAGAGTGAGACTATAAAAAGGCAATGAAAAAAGTCAATCAAAATTACTTAATTACATATTTTTACCATTAGAGTACCTTTAAAAAAATTCACTGTTATCCTAGTAGTTTTCCCGAAACAGAAATGTGCAAATTTAATATTAATATTAAATTTTGAACATTTCTAGAGATCGTTAAACAATTGTTTAACGAATTAATTTTTGATTTGTGACTATAAGAATCACGTTTGGCAAAAATATCCTGAAGCAGTGGTAATATTAATTTTTTAATCTTGAGGGAAATATACTCTATATTTAATTCGATCCATTTGCAGAATTGTCAACTTTGCGATGCCCCAGTAAAAATGAACCACTTCCGGTCATGGATTTTTACTTATGTTACTAAAATAAACATTTTGAAATTTCATTCTCAAAGAATATTTTGTCCCGCAGTGGACTGATCGTTAAGACACGGTTCTCATCAGATCACCGAAGTCAAGCATCACTGGCTGCGGTCAGTGTGCGGGTGGGTGACCCACTTGAATCAGTCTGCGTAGGGACCGAGGGTGTGCGGTATTGGTCCTCGTTAAACTGTGCTACCGTAAAGTGCTCGACTTCGCGCGCAGGTCGTTGGGCTACCGAAGCGGGGGTGCCATCCCCTCTGCAGAGGATCAAAATTGTGATGGCATGTCTTCGGATCATCCTCAGGGATGTTTCCCAGACCGTCGCCAATAGCCCATTGTGCAGCTCTAGTGCGACGTAAATCAACAACAACAACAACAAAGAATATTTTAACAATTTTTCTACTTTTTGTTTTTGTAAAATCTCACACTTTCATTTTTTATTGGCGATCGCAACGCTCGAATACGCCATCTGGAGAGAAACCGGTCTCATGCCTTTGGCCCTTCTCCCTTCCCTCCCCTCTTCTTTTCGTCCCGCAGTGGACTGATCGTTAAGACACAGTTCCCAGCAGATCACCGAAGTCAAACATCACTGACTACGGTCAGTGTGCGGGTGGGTGACCACTTGGATCAGTCTGCGTAGGGACCGAGGGTGTGCGGTATTGGTCCTCGTTAAACTGTGCTACCGTAAAGTGCTCGACTTCGCGCGCAGGTCATCGGGCTACCGAAGCGCGGGTGCCATCCCATCCGCAGAGGATGAAAATTGTGATGGCATGTCTTCGGATCATCCTATGGAATGTTTCCCAGACCGTCGCCAATAGCCCATTGTGCAGTTCTAGTGCGACGTAAATTAACAACAACAACAACCCTCTTCTTTTCAGTTGTATATAGGAATGTATTACGATATTATCCCTTTTCTCACTATTCTTCCTTTTTATTTAATAAAAATATTTTTTGAAATCTCCGTGATGCTTTTCTTTAGAACTAAGTTTAATGTAGTTTTCAGTTCCATATAGTTTTCCAACTTAAAAGATTTTTATCTATATGAAAGAACTAACTATCGTACTTCCTTCCTCTATGACTCTCCACACGCTGTTGGTGAAAGCATGCAAACCGTTATGAAGTGTACTTAATATGAGAACTTCGTAAATTAGGAATTTTGCGTTTAAAGACACCACCTAACTATCTAAAAATGTCGAAATAAATCAAATTTCCTTATTATTTGAAATTTAAACGGGAATTTTTTGTTTAAACGCGGCTCCTAGAAATGTAGAGACAATAACCTGTTCTGTTTTCATTATCATAAATTAGAAAACATTGTAGATACGTTTCGGCACTATAAATAAATGAAAGAAAAAAAATTTAATTTCAATAAATTTTAATTACTAAAAAATTTTTGTGCAGCATGTCCCCAGCATAAGGCTTCTAATAAGCATATTCCCGCTTAAATCACTCTCGCTGGATGCAACCAGATTTTGAAAATTGCCTTTTGGACGTTAAAGGAAATTATTTGGACCTCTGACTTAGAACCCTTATTGTATTGAGCATTTTGAAATATATTACATTCACAATTTAAGACATTAGAAAGGAATTATGTAAGATTGTCTCTATAGATATGTTCCAAACTATAGTTTGGAACTTGTGACGCATAAAGTACACATGCTGTATACAGTTTGATAATTTCATAAGTGTCAATGAAATGTAGATTATTGACATAGATTTACAGCTTTATAAGGCTGTCCAGACTATTAATTCTTAAATGATTGATACTAAAAAAAATTATAAAAAAGTAATAATATAAAAGTTTTAGGTATTCTTCAGGAAGTATTTGTTTCAAAAGGTACATCTAGCAAATAATGTTGAACAGATTTGTGTTAAGGGTGAAGCTGTACAATAAGAACTGTGTAGGCTGCATAAAAGTCTAAATTTTTTGGTCCCAAAGGACGTTCTAATTTCTGGACCAAGCATAAAAACTATCATGCAATAGCTAAAAATTGTTAGAATATGTTCCCTTAACAAATTGGTACCGCTGGGGGTGCTGAATTGGACTGTCAAAATGTACACACAATGAGTATTGAAGCTAAACATTTTAGTCAGAAGTTAAGTATTATATGGTCCTCATAATAATTATCAAATCTGAGGAATTCATCCTTTTATTTCAATTGTTTTAAAACAAAATCATAAGAAAGGAATTGTTTTTCTTTTTTTTCGGAAAGACAAATCTGAATTTTTCAACATAACTAAACATAGAATTTTCTGCTGCATTTATAATATTGAAAGCCTTTCTCTCCATACTTTTTAAAAATCTTGCCTCTAAATATTATTGAGTTATCTCATGAAACAACTTAAGAGTACTGAAAACTTTAAAATAATACAATAATTAATAAAAAGTAATAAGAAAAAAATTAGCAATTACATAAAAAAATTAATTTTTTTTAATGCAATTGGTGGACGGCCTCTCAGGTAAAAATATTACGTTAAAAATTCTAAATTAATTCTTAAATTTAATGATTAAAAGGGAGATGGCATGAAAATATTTAATTAACGAATGATTCCCAAGTAAAGTTCAAAGATACTGATCTATAAATAGAATATCACAAGAAGGCCATTAGCCTGCTAGTGACGAACACGCTGGAGCTTCACCATCGATGAAATTAACTGAAAAGATTAGACAATGTTTAGTTGGGCCCCGCATTTAGCGAAAATTCTTTTTAGCGAAGAGACTTTTCAATTCTGTTTCAAAGGGTGAAAATTAAAACCCTGAAATTGAGAATCTAATGCAAAATACAGCAGAATTGCACATGAGAGAGCGAGAATTCCTCCCACTGAATCCAGCTCAGTATATGCACACTCGAATCCGCAAGTGTTTCATCAAGCATGTAAAACAATAGGCGTTTTCATAAGCTGCGGACCAGACCAACGGTACATTCAAATAGATTGAGGTTAAATTAATAGTGAAAACCTTGAATAGAACAATTTGAACAATGTCTTTCATACACTACGGATAGGACCAACGGTACACTGAAATAGATTGAGATTAAATGAATTGTGAAAATGATGAATAGATTAATTTGAACAATGTCTTTAAATTTATGGGCATATTGGCATAATTCGTGGCGAAAATCGACATGGTCAAGAAATAATATTTTGTTTTGGAAAAGGGAAAATTAAACATTTTTTAGAAACACCCAAAGAAAAAAAGCACCTTCAAGGGTTTTTAAAAACGAAAATAAGCACCTTTAAAAACGCTACGCACACTGAATTATTCATTATCATTAAAATAATAGTTGAGTCATTGCATTAAGGAAACAAGTTTTTTGGTTTATCAAATTTTTATTAACAAAATTATTGAGTTTTCTAAAAATACTCAATGTAATAAACTTTTGAATATATAAAACACAATAAACTCTAAATTAAATATAAAAAAAGCATGAAAATAAAGGCGTAAATAACACCTACAAAAGAAGTTAAAAAAATATACACCTGGCTATGACTACATTTCAAGAACTTTGAACACCACTCATCATATACCAAGAAACAATCTTCAAGCCAAAGTAGAAAAAAAAAAGAATCACAGGAACTTAAGCACATGAATAATACTTTGGTTGAGCTTAGGAGTGGAGAATAAACTTAAACAATTTCATAATTAAGACTTTACAGATAATTAGAAACGAAGCAAGTAAAAATCATATTAAATTTTTTTACCAACACTGTGGTAAATGTTAATCAAAAATCAATATATTCTGTTTAATTGTTGAAAATTTTTAGTGCAGCAAGGCATAATTCTAATACAATAATAGCAATAACAATACAAAAACTTTTAAGTAGGAAATTTCATAGAATTATTTAAAAAATTTGAGAACTCAGAAATTACACATGAAAGAAATAAAACTTTTAAATTTAAATATAGAATTTTTTTACAAAGAAATGACAAGAATATTAAATTTTGCAATTTTCGAGAGATTCATAAATGTTGATAACTCTATATCAGAGTTTCAGATACATAATTAATATTTTACACATTATTTTAGTATATAATGTTATGTATATAATAAAATAGCATAAATTGGTTAGTTGATTGAAGCACCACTAGAGCCAGAAATGACAATATCAATAAAAGACAAATTTTGTTATGTATTCAATGTAGCAAAATTGAATAGTGCTATAACAGATAATACGTAAAACAAGAATAAAATTATAGTACCTCTGATGAAAATAAGCCAAAACGCGATTAAAAATACTAATAATTTTCTACTTATTTTAAATGATATAAAAATATTTTCTTTTAAAAAATATTTATTCACTTAATAAATGACATTTTTATGATACATTTTTAAAAAAAATAATTTTATATGCGTAAAATGTTCATTAGAATTTTACTATCAATATTTTTGGGAAGCTAGGGTAGGATTCTAGTATTAAATGCTGCATAAAAATTAACAAGCAATTGCCCGACTGTATCTTATAAAGAATAACATGACAATGTAATAAAGCTCTACTTCATGAAGAAATTGAAAGAAACATAAAGATATTAGTTTCAATGAGTCGCAAGAATATATAAAGGTTAAAACTGGAAATATAATAAACTAAAATGCATTAAATTACAAATGACAATTAAACAAATGAGTACATTGACTAAAAATGAAAAAAAAAATGAGTTTCATTGTTAATCAAATTGTTAGATAAAAACCTACAAAAATAATTGAATAAAATTAATAAGTTGAAACACAACTCCAATTATACAGTGTTATAAATATATGCATTAAAAATACAATTCCTTATTGCTAATATAACAATTTTTAAATATTTAATTTTAATACAGTCGTCTGATTCAGAGATAAGACAAAAAGAGTATAATCTCAGGGATATAATCGATAAAATCAAAATGCTGGAAAAGTAAACAATACAATTCATATTATTTTTCTTTTTTTTTGTACAAATATCTCTCAAGGTTTGAATGTTTAACTGTAAAAGCTTAACCTAATTAGAATTTTGGATAAATTAAGACTTTGAAAAAAAAATTGCAAAAATATGCCTAATGATAATGTTTTAAATAATAATGAATTTTAAAACAGATTACAAAAAAAAAAAAAAAATTGACATTAGATATATACACTATAAAATAACAAAATATACATTTTCATTTCTGTACAGGGAAAATATTCATTTAAGTATTGTAAGTACGAAGTTGTATATCAAAGAGATCAAACATCCCTTCTGTATCATCAAGATTGAAAAAGTAATCTCGAGCTCCAGGGGGTGGGCTCAGTCTTGTGAGAGGAGAGAATGCTGAAAGAGAAACTAAGATATAAAAAAGTAATTTATAAAAAAAAAAGAAGAAAAAAAGATCACCATAGTGGTAAAGTATACACAGTTAGTACAGCCCTATCAAAAAAACATAGATATAATTTAAATTATTTCATATTACTAACTTAAAATAGTTTTAAAAATCATACATGAATTGCTGCATATTTTTTTATTCAGAATAATTACATATACTTAAAAAAAACTTCTAATTTTATGAATTTTTCTGATTTTTGTAACCAGTGGTCTCAATTTTAGCAATTATTTTTCACTTTGGCTCATTTTTGTGCAGATAATATAGAATAGAACATCCATTCTTGCTTTTATAGTAGAAAATAAAGAATTTAAAAACAAAAATATTACAAGATTTTTTTGTTGTTGCAAATCTATTGTATTTATGGGCATTTCAAACTCAAATCAATTAATTATCCCTAACTTTTCCAGGGTTCATGCTAAAAAAAAAAAAAAAAAAAGAGATTCTATTTCCTGAGAGGTTTGCGTAAAACTCCAAGATCTTTTTTAACTTAAAAAGAATTATTAGTTCAAAGTTGTTGCAATAAAATAAAAAATCAGATTTAATTAGATACCGGTAAGTGCCGTTACAAACGTGAGTCGGACTTGAGTTAAGATGACACTTGACATCCAATTCAAATTATTAAAAAATTAAATTTGGATAACAGAAGCACCAATAAGTGGGTGAAACTCAACTAAGCGATGCTAATTTAAAAAGAAAATAAGAAATATATAAAAATCCATATTTAATCGAAGTTAAATAAAATAAAATAATCTAAAAAATAACGCATTTTATCAACAGTCAATCAAAACAAAAATTAACTATAAAAATGTAACATATGTAAGATTTTGCTATAAAGAAAAGAAAAAAAAACTCTTAAAATTAATGGATGAAAAGATTTAATGTATACAAAATTAATTTATAGTGAATGAAAAAAAAGCTCAAAAGGTAGTGGAACCAGAAATGTATCATTTGTGAAAAGTGAAAACAAGCAAGCTGCTTTATAAAAAAAATCGCTGCTTTTACTTTTATAAAAGCAGACAATTTTTAAAGAAAGCAGATGTGTTCCTATATCAGAGAAACAACATAATTTATATAATATATTGGTTTCGTTAATAGACGTTAAATAAATAAACATAGAAAATGATTAAAAAAAAGTTTTGTTTCTAACAATTTATTATCCAAAATTCTAGAAAAATAATTTGTCATAGCAAAAATGGGATAACGAAAATTGAGAACAAAAGTGGATTAAAAAAAAACATAACTTGCCAGAAAGGAAAAACTAATAACACTAGTTCTGATCAATAAAAAGATTATAAGAGTTTTTAAAATAAATAATTGTTTCAAAAAAGAATAAAAATGTACTTCAAGTTTTTCAAGGTAGAAGTTTCACATTTCAAATCGGGCATCCAATTACTGATTCTCATCTTCAGAAACGCATACGAATTATTGAATTATCGTTAAGATACACCAAATACTGTCGACGTAGGAAAAAATCTGTTTGTTTTAATTGTTTTGTTATTTATTTCATACTCTACTATGCAAGCGCAAATTATGGTTTTGGGAATGGAACAGTAAAATTCCACAATTTGATAAGGTGTCAAATTTTCCTGATAATTTCCAGTTTTCGAATAAAATCACGTTTTCCCCAGACTTTTTTTCTTCTTCTCAAATCCAGTTTTCCCTAGCAATACCCGGTTTTTCCAATATTTGAGATGATTACGAACCATGTTTTTACTGGAATCCTGTATATGTTCAAAATTACAAGACTACAGAGTTGAACATTAGTAGTCGTAAACCCATAAAATTGGGTCGGCTGTTCAACGACGGTTCTTCTTCTACAGGAGCGCAACAGCCCTTTGCAGGCCTTGGCTGCCTCAACAGCACGCCTTCTCCAGCTCCCTCTGTCCATGGCAACTCCCCTCCAGTTCTTAAGTTTTAGGACTTTGACCTCAAAGTCAACGACGGTTATAAAATAAAATAAAATGAAATTATTCTTGTTTAAAAAACATGTTGAAGTCACAGAACTAAACATTACATACAGAAATAAATATATTAAATGGAAAAAAAAACTTTTTTTACAGTGGAATAACTGAAAAATAAATAATTTTACTTACTCTCTTTTGCTATCAGCTCCTCTAAAAATTGTTCTTCTATTTTATCATCTAAACAAAAAAGAAAATATAAACTTAGTATTCTAACAAGCATAATATAATGAGAACATTAATAGGGTTGCCACAGAAAGAAAATGAACAAAATAGTTGCTTTTAGTAGCCTAGAGCATGAAAATAGTTGCCTAAATAACAAAAATAAGACTAAAACTTTATTAAATGACTTAATTGTCATATACCATGATCCATTTAGTCAAGTTGGTGGCAAATATGATAATTTTTATACAAACGTTTGTGTTCTAGCACTTAATTTTCATATAAAAAAAATTAGTATCTTTGCAGAAAATTAAATACATTTAATTACTAGAATTCACTCAAAAAATACTTTTTCATTAAAAAAAAACACTAATCCAAGAAATTTCGCCTTTTATCAATAATTGATTGCGAAAAGTGATTACTCAAATTCAAAATTCATGCATCGTAATATCATATTAAATTTTTTTAAAAAAAAATCGTGCAGAATTTCGTAGCAAAAACCGTTGAAAAAGCGATCAAGAAACAAAATAGACTTACAATAGAATCTGTGCAAATTGAAAGCATTAAAAAATGATGACTCAAATTTGAAATCTAAAATTTCTAATTTTTTAATTATTTGTTTCATTTTTTTAAATTTTATTATTTTTAATTTACATTTTTTTATTTTTTAAGAAAAGAAATTCAGTGTGTTCAGAAGATTTCGCGGCTGCAGGTTTTCGACCCAATTTATGCCAAAAAAAATTACTAGGAGTACAGAAAAGTCTCCTATTAGTCTCCTTTTCCTGAAAATAGTTGCTTTTTTAGTCTTTTCAGGCAAAAAAAGTTGCCATAGTCGCCTCATGCTGAAAATAGTTGCATTTTAGTCGCCTGTGGCAACCCTGCATTAATGATTAAAACCTGTCGATTGAATTTCCAATCCGTTGATCCAAATTTCATTTAAGGCATAATCAGTCAGTATGTATGTATCAGTTGTTAAAAGGAAAATAATTAATATATAACCTTGGAAACTTATATTTAAAATATAATTAAAGCTATATGATTCCAAATTAAAGAATTCAACAATGTTAAAATTTTTATGTGTTAAACGGGGGTTATTTGTAATAAAGTTGCTTAAAACAAAACATTTCTGCAACATTTACCAACTACTAGAACTAGAGATTGTACAGACTAGAGATTTTATATTTCTGTTTAGCAACTAAAAATAAGGTTACTTTTGAATGCACTACTTCATCATTATACTTATGTGGCTGGAAATCCTACCTTTTAATAATATTTTTAGAAACTAGGTCTTAAGATTTTATAAAATATAAAACAAGCAAAAAGTTAGCTTTATTATTTCTCCACCTTATTGTCTGACAATGCTATAATATTTCTCATTAGTAACTGTTAATAATTTTGTAGAAAATCATGTAGATATTTTTGTTCCTTACAAAATTGTTAAATCAATATATATGTATATACATGAAAATAAAATAAATAAACTTGAACCTTTGCTCTTTAATAAGGAAGGAATTTGATGTGTTTTAAAATGAGATTTGATAGAGTTAATGTTTTTAATATAATGTAAGGGTAAATAAGATAAAGTTTATGTCTCCTTTTAAGTTTTTATACCTTAAAATAAAGCTCTAATAAGAAAATTTCCATACCATAAAGTGGGTTAAACAGAAGATCACTTGAAATGTCGAGTAAGTTATCAAGGTTATCTAGATTTGGGTCATTGGTGGAACTAGCTTGTGATGTAGCTGTAAAATATAAGATTAAAAAAATTAACAAATAACCTAAATTACTGCATAACATTTAAACATAAGAGTCATTTTTTACATAATCATAAAAAACACAAGAATCATATAAAACATTAAACATAAGAATCATTGTTACACAAGTCATTTTTTTCCTCACACAGATACAGTATAAAGTTTTTTTTTTTTACAAATATAAGTCTGTTTCCTTAATCTGGAAGCAAAATTCAAATTGAAACTTGACAAGCTCACCAGATTTTGCCTTTTAAACACTTTTTGAAAAATAAAAAATTACAAGTCTGATGCTCTTCAAACAATATGATTGGTTTGCATTAAAGTTTAACAATAAAATATGCATGTTCTCATATTTGCTCAAATTTTTAAAAATAAAAATTGTCAATAAACTTAAATACAGAACAAAGTCCCATATCTGGACAACTGTTTACTGGATTTTTTTCTTTTCTTCTGGACACATTTTAACAACCAAAATATACAAAAACTTGTAAAAAAAAAAGGATGCAGGTAAGAGAATCCTTCACTTTTCTGTTAAAGAATAATTTATTTAGACATCCCATGTCACTATATATTCATATCACTGCACTTAAAATCCCTCAAAATCAGAACTCTCTGTATAAGAGCAAAATAGGTATATTAGTTCATTGTTTATTTCGGGTTCATCCTCATCACTCACACTTTCATTTTGTCTTCAGATGATTTCCACTTTTTTGAAGCCATTTATCACAGTTTCTTTTTCCCTTTCAATTGCTGACAGCTTAAATGCAGCAGTATAATTCCTCCTCTTAATGGGAGGCGTTTAAAATGTATTACTTAAAAACAAGCTATATCAAAATTTCAATAAAACAAAAATATTAATAAAAAAAATGCAACAGAAGATCAGAATTGAAGATTAAGCGATAAAAAAAATAAATAAACTGGGGAAGATGATCAAACTCTAAAGAGAGAAATATCAGCAATGAAAAAAGAAAAAGAAAGGAAAAGCGCGCTCCCAAGCATTTAAAACAATTTTCTATATTCCCCATTTTCGCTTCTTAAATCAGGCTTCAGAAAACAGATTTTTTTTTTAAAACTGACTCTGTTTAGGGCGGTCAATCTTTTATCCACGTGTAAAATTCTCACATACTGCTTTTCCCCCTCTTTACTGACCTTCAGCTGAAAGCTAGAAATTCTTCTTTGACATTTTAATAGTAAGAATATACAAGGTCATCCCAAGCTCATCAGTGCCATTTATTCATCTAACATTCAAATGTTTTTAACAACCAGTTGAAGAAAAAAGGCACCCCATGACTAGTGGAAGAGTCATATTTCCTGGAAAAAACGCAGGGGAAGCGTTTGTTTTACAGCTGATGATATCATTGACCCACCCTTGATTTTGTTCATTCATTCCTTTCTGACTTATGCTTCTTTGTTTACCTTAAAAACTTATTATCCGGAAAAATCTACTTTCCGGACTAGCTGAAGTCCTGACGGTCTCAGATATGGGATTTTTCACTGTTTATAAAACATATCTAACATATACATATAATGTACCGTTGACTTAGACCTCAGATTACTAAAGGTTCTTTTCTTGTGATCAGTCTAAATTTAAAGGTCTAGGACTATTTACGATTTCAATCACTGTTTTAGCTATTATTACATTGCATGAATTTCTTTTAATAACATGAAAGCTAATATAACTCCTTAATCTGATATAATTTAAATAGTTCACATAAAAATATAACAAAATTTTTTCACCAATAATCACTTCTAGAAATAGGTAGGAATCATATCTATTTACAACTGTCTTTGACATCTATGCATAAAATTACTGTTTTCTTTATACTTACGTTGTACTTATTTTACAAAATGTGTCCCAATTTTTTCTATGCAGAACAAAAAACATTTACAATAACAAAGCAGACATTCAGGATTTTTAACAGAACCTCATCATCTGGGCAATCTCATATCGTTGTGTTTACACAATATGCCGTTTTAATTAGATTTTTGCATTCTTTTTTGTTAGTTAAATGAATTCATATGTAAGCCAAACCCTAGATTAATGAAAGCTCTAGTATTTTTCAATCATACACAAATGTATATGTACTAAGATGACTTTATTACTAATTTGCTTACCAGCTGAATTGGTTTCAATATTTTCTGGTTTGGGGTTCACTTTTTGACGCCGCGTAACTGGACTTAAAGAAGGTAATGGTTGTGGTGGACCTTTACGAGGAGACTGCCGTGTGGCCATTCGATTTGAATTTAAAGCATTGCTCTCTTGTTCAGCAGCTGCCTATAATTAAATAAATAAATAATAATCCATTTTTTTGAAAACACAATATCAGTTCAATTTAACAATATATAAAAAGTTTATAATGGGAAACTGAATGCTTAAAATATACTACAGTATTAAAAATAAATATACTTCAATAATTAAACACTGTAACATGATTAGACAGGAAATAAAAATAATTTGAAATGCATACAAAGTTGATTTTAAACAATGGCTATATTTACTGAAAATGATTTTAATATTTAAACTGCCAAACAGAATTCTGAGAAAGGGAGAAAAAAAAACCTGTGCTATAATTTTTAAAAGCATATTACAGTACAAAAATGCCTAATTTCAATAAGAAAAACTGGAAATAAATGTATTTAGTGTTCTCTACTCAATATAATACAAGATTATCTAATGACATCCAAACAAGTCGATAATTTTACCAACTGTTAAAAAATAACAATGAGACCAAATTTCAACAGCCAGTTAAAAAAAATAATAATAAATAAGTGCAAACATATTGAATTAGTTAAAAAATAACAATATTCTTCTTTTTTTCATCCAGCGAGCAGCAGTTAAGAGAACTCAAAATTAAACTTCATTTATATTTTATTATACAAATATTATTTATATGTTCAAATTTTTATTTACTTCAAGTTCTTTCTTTCTTTGAAGGGACCGGTTTCCAATAACTGCTGCTATAGTTCGTTTGACCCCTATGGAAGCTTGTCTGGTTTGGCGACTGTATGTTCTAGGGGGACTGGGTGCTTTAGGTTGTACTGTTTCTTTCTTTGGTTCTGGCGGAGGTGGTGTTGGAACAATTTGTACGGGCTCAGCTGGTTTAGGTAATTCAGAGTGTTCTTGAACTACAGGAGGCTCTTTTATAATTTCCTGGAAATTTTTTTAAAAGGTTCAGTTTTTATCATTAGATGAGAATTAGAAATGATTAAAATTAAACATAATTGAAATTTCCTAGAATAAAATTATTAATAATAATAAAGTACCTTGGGAGGCATTTGAGCTGAATCTCTATTAACAAGCAACACATTTATTGGACCTGATGATGATGACATATTCAATTGGTATTTGTTTTGTGGTATAGGTCCATCAACCTAGAAATTTTTTAAAAAAAATATTAGCACAAACACCAAATAAACTTAATACATACATTGAATTTAAAATATTAGTAAAAAATTCTTTTCCATTAATTAAAAGGGTTGGCATGATTCAAAAAATGATTAAAATCATGATTTGAGTATGATTAAAAAAAAAAAAAAATAGTGATGCAAAACCGATTGCTTTTTTTAATAATAAATCATAAGTCAAAAATACTTTTATACAATATTATTAATAAATATATTCTTAAGGTAGAAAATATTTTTTAATGTTAAATTTCATTGATAACGAAGATTTTATCCAAAGATATGATGAAAGAGGAACTTAAGTATATTAATTATGTTTTAAAGTATACTAAAAAAAAAAGGGGGGGGGGAGATACTTTAAGTGGCATACAGCTTTTAAATTATAACTTTCCATAAGCTGTATATAAAATAAATTACTGGTAATAAACTGATTTCAATTATACCCCTTTAGCATTTACACCATACCACAATTAGCTTATACCAATAATAAAGACCTGTTCTGCAGAGAGAAACTTTTAATAATTCTTTTCCTTAATGTATTCCGATATAAACTAATTAACTCTTCGCTAGATAACAAATTGACTTCTTGTCCATAAAATGTAAGGATGATATGTTTGTACAAAAATAAACATTTCCTTCAGCGATTAGTTCGTAACAATTAAATAATTATCCTAAACTTTTAGGTTAGAAGTATCAACTGTTTGGTTATATTATCTTTATATAATATTAAGATATATTAATAGATTTTGTATGATGGTTTGGCAAGCAAAGTAAAATATGATTAGCATCCTATTCAGATATAGTTTAAAAAAATTATAAGGAAAAACTCTAAATCAATTAAATTAAAAATTATTTTAATGTTCTCCTCTTGCTAATAATGCATAATAAAAATAAGTAAATTTTATAAAATTTAATTCAATCCTTGCTACATTCTGTTAAAGCACTGTTTTTTCTTGCAACAGTAAATTACCAGTCACAAAGACACATCATAATCTTTTTAACCTGTCCCTCTAACAAATTGTGGACCCATTCAACATAATATAATGTGTAAGCACAATCACTGCATATTATTTTTACTAGCCATAAAAAATTTCAAATTCAAGTCAACTTGTAAAGGCATTAAGAATTGTTTCACAGGAAATTATAACTATTGCTTACAACTTCAACATTTTGGACTGAAAGTTCAGTTCCAACTGGGCACTCCACTGCTATCATAGTGTCACCTTCATATGCATTGCATATATCTTCATATAAAACATAAGAAAGCTCATTATTTTCTGGCTCATCTCTGATATTAGATATGCTCTGAATCATCCACTGTTCATGTTGTTCTAATTCTTTCTCTTTTTGTTCAAGATACTCCAGCTCCTTCTTCAGGACAATGAGACGATCCGATATTTCTCTTGTATTGCAACCGGGACCAGCACCCCTAGAAGAAAGTAATGAGAGAAAAAAATTAGTATAAATATTTATATATAACTTAATTATATATAATAATTATAAATATTTATATATAACTGAGTTGGTTGGTTTAAACCATTGTGATTTAAAACATGATCTAAACAAAAGCTTAAAAAAAAAAAAAAAAAAAAAAAAGGTGATTTTTAACCCTTTTCTTCTCGCTCCGGTGAAAATGATGGGGTACGGTTTCGCCCTCTATTTATTGCTCCCGTGAAATTTTCGGGCTGGAGTGTTCAGTAGTAACGTGCCAATAAGAATAAAACTTAATTCATTTCTTTTGCCTGAAAAATTTTTTATTTCTCATTTTACACACCAGATGGCAGTACCAGGATATTTTTAAGGTAATTGTAAATGGTTTATTTTTAACCAGATGTCAGCACTAATCAAATATGTGTATTTGGCAAAATAGGCACTTTTATGACCGCTTTCTTGAAAATTAACCGATCGTTAAGGGGTTAAGAGAAAAAAGATCTGTTAAATAACTAGTTTTATTTACATAAATATAATTTAAATATAACCTAACTGATTGAAAAATAGCATATTTTCCCATAAAAATCTTTTAAATTTTGAGTTTAATTTCTAATGTGAGTCTATGTTACTTTAAATCAATAAATGTGGTATGTAATTTTTAAAAGTTCATGTATTATTGCTCTTTTACTAAGATATAATTATAATGCAGAACATCATTTATGTTCAGATAGTTTTAAAAATTATTCAAAGATTGCAATTATAGAGCAAGTTGAATTCAGAAGAATTTTTTAATCTTGTTAATTATGCTTTCGAATGTAGCAAGCATAAATACATAACGCTTGTTACTATCAAAAGTATAAATGGGAATGAGGTACTTTTTTGAATTTTACATTTCAGTTTATTTTTAAATTTTCTCTATTATCAACGCAAACAAATTATTATTTGCACATATGTTTCTATTGATTCTAATATTTTCAAAATACAATGCTTATATAAAAGAGCGTAATTAAAAAAATATTAAAAATTAATTTAAAATTTTATCAATGTATATTATTTTATTTAATACTGTTTACAAGTATATTGATATACTTAAAATTACAAAAAAAGTATTTTATTTCTCATTTATCATAAATTCATATGACATCAACATATTTTTACTATTAAAAATACATGTATCCAGCCAATTTAATGTTTTTAGTCCTTTTCATCATTCCAATATTCTTGAATTTAAAAATAAATTATCGTAAATTTTTTATGTTCTCCTTCAAGTTTGTTCAAATTTAACTGGGGAACATATACATTATACTAATTAAATTGATACAAATATTGTAAATTGAATATAATTAATTAATGGCTATAAATAATCCTAGAAAGCGAGAATTTTCATACATAAATTGACTAACAATTTACAATACTTTTAATTAAGAACATGAATTCAATTAAGAATAATTAAGAACATTCAATTCAACCTTTTGTTTTAAATAAACCAAAAAGACCTGGTTAAACAAAAAATAAATAAATAATGGTTTTTAGTATTTTTTCTTCAACTTTGAATATATAAAAAAAATACAATTAATATATTTGAATTTTTTTTTATAGCTAGTAACCATATAAAAACTTAACAATTACTATTACAGAATAGCTAGAGTTTTAAAACTTTAGGTCTCAAGATTTCCAGATTTCTTGTTACCAACTACGTGTTACTCCTTGTTGGCTTATTTCAGCGTTTGTTAAATCAAAAGTCCGCAGAGTAAAAGAAACAATTTCTTAAAGCATCATAAAACTTAAGTATTTCAAGAGAAACAATGCCAATACATAGATGGATTAGTTAGAATATGTTTACTAACTAATTTTTATATTTCAAGTACCAATAAAATAAGTAAAAATATATTTTGTTCTTACTTCCATTGTATGCTGTTTTTTGATTTTTTCTCAATTAAGCCAATACCTTCTAAGACATTGGTTATATCATATATTCTCCTTTTCTGTCGCACTGCTAGGGTATCTGCAGCCTAAGATGAACAGTAACATTTTCTCATTAAAAATCTTAAATTTGTATAAATATCAATTAACATGATTTACAAGAAAAATTTTTTTTTCCTGCTAAACAAGCACTAGATACTTGGCTCTATTACTAGGGTATCTGTAGCCTAAGATAAACAGTATAACATAGTTTCTCATTCACTTGTTTAATTTGCATAAAACTCAATTTGCATAAATCTTTTCCAAAACATTCCATACATTGTTTTTTATAAAAAATTATGAAATATTTATGAAAGAAAAAAAGTTAAAAAAAAATATGAAAATCTATTAAAATGTAACTTTAGTCACCTTGGAATTACACACATATAACTATAATATTTCCATAATATTCTTTCACAAGATCATTTACAAATTAGGTTGTACCAAGGTTCATTGATTATATAAATAACAAATTCAGAATATAAGAAGTGCTTTAATTGTTCTTTATTATCCTGATATTTGTAATTGTTTTATGAGACAATTCCTTAAGACTAAACAAAGTTCAAAATGAGTGCACTTTATTCACGTTAGTATGATGTCCAGTATACATTGGCATACACTAACTGTTCTTTATTATTCTACGATATTTGTATAATCAGATAATTCACAAAGACATTGGCATACACTGTTAACAATGAAGTTCATGTTATTTATGATACTAATTATATTTTAATTATAACTGAGCTTTGTTTACTATATAGATAAGTGTTGAATTCAATATAATTTATGTATTTAAAGTACTGTATTTCTTGAAGTTAGGAAGTATTTGACCATTAAGGGCCTGTATCAATAAGAGTATGTTCCTTTAAGTGACACATTTATACATTAAAATTACTTTACTTTTACAAAAGAAGTATGTTTAGAAGTTTGACGAGAAAGAACAATTTTGATAGATGTCCTTCTCATTTCTTAGAATATGATTGTCTTCACATAGATATGACAGATTTTATTTTCCCACATACCCCTGTCAATGTAACGGTCACGTGTTGATGTTTGTAAACAATGAAAAACTTTTGTTAAACAATAACAACGGCTTAAGCACAGTTTAAAAAAATTCAAGTAAACTATGTTTTGACAAATGTTTATAAATCTGATCACTGTACAAATATTGAAAACGAAACTTTTATTTTTTTGAAATATCTTTAGGAAAAGTAGTTTTGTGTGTGTTTTTATGCTGCAATAAGAGTAACAATACACAAATATAAAGAAAATTGCATTCAAAGAGTAAATAATAATATTATATCACTAAATTTTGATTTTTGAATTGTACTTAAAGTACATTATATAAACAACCTTACGCGCAATTAAGCGGCAATTTTAACTTGTGCTATTTAAACTGGCGCCATTGACGTTTTGTGATACGAATTCAACGATAGAAATATATAGTTCTAAACAAGAAATTTCGTTCATGCACATATCGCTTACTACTTTGAGGTCTAAGACACCATCTTTAGCTTCTTGCAATAACGATACAAATTTTGTAGTCAATAATCCTAGGCTTTTTTCATGTCTACTAGGAATAATATCAGCCATTTTGGATAACGGTTGTTGTTGTATGATGCAACAATGCCAGTTTCGGAATCGAAATCATAAAAATAAAATAATCAAAACTTTACTAACAAAAAAAAATTTATTCTGAATATTTCTTCATTAAAGTGTCAAAAAATTTTGATAAACATGCTAAAAATATAAACATAGTTTTTTACATTATTCTATTTTCAGTATATAGAAATTTCTGAAGTTTAAAAAAATGACAAATGTATACAGTCAGAATATGAATAAGTTATAGATGGCGCTTAAATGATTTCGCATTTAGTCTTAATTACCTCTAGATGGCGTTTACAGCAAACAAAATTGTTTAATCATGTCAACTCTTTGCACTTGCGTTCAGTATTTGTATGGGGGAAGTTTGACTTCTTCGAGCAGTATATATTTAAGCAAATCAACTGTTTAATGTGGATCATGAATCAATATTGACAAGTTCTTATCACGTTCGCAGGTCACGAATGAGGGGAATTGTTTTACTGACTATGTTAACTTTCATCTATCAAAAGGTGCCTTATGATAGAATTAAGTTAGCATGTCTTATATACTAGTGATTTGGTATTTAATATTTGCAATGGTAGTTACGCCACACATACTTTCACTATTAGAGCATGGAAAGTCATAAAAGAAGTAAATATGTTACTTTCTGTCTTAACTTTCAAATAGATTAAAATCAATTTAGTTAGCAAACTACATTTAACTAAAAACTACATTAAACATAGCTCTAAAAGAAATTTCAGGAAGGAAACTTTAAGAAATATTTTTAACAATGAAATACGAAAAATATTAAGAAAAGAAAAAATATTGGTATCTGGGCGGAGTGAACTTGGCGCTAGCTTTTATCCATCAATCCTCTTATAACCCTATGTTAATTGTATAAAGGCAGGTTGACACGATCAAAGTAAGCGCGCGCATTCAAAGTACATCATAAAAGTAAATAAAGCAAAAATGGGAACTACGAAATTTTAGGGAAAAGGGAAAATGCGATGGGGAAAAAAAGTCATCCACTGTTGTTGAGAGTCAGGGCTAAAGAGCAAGTTCACTCCGCTCTTAGAGCTGAAGCTATGATTTCCCTCCTCATGACGTCACTGTGTCCACAGATCTCGGAGATCGCAAGCTAAGATATGTATCTTTGTATCTTTCTCTTTGTAAAAATAAGTTAGACTTTTTCTGGTTATTAGCTTTCAAACTTTACGTAATTAACACATTATTTCCGTTCATAAACATAGTTCAAAAAAACTTTCTTGGTTACTATATTAAAAAAAATACCATCTTAAACTTATAAAAATGTTTTACTAGTTGGTGAAAATGACACTATAAATACTTTATTTTAAAAAATTCAGTTTTAACTTTAATTATTAAGAAAAATGAAAGCATATATCGACACTTTTATAACGATAAGTTGAGATATATTCTTTTAAAACGATAAGTTGAGTTAAATTTAGAATCCCTGATTTTAAAATATGTCGTTAATAGCAATTTGTTCATACTTAATCATTAGGAAACATCAACCTTAAACGCTAATTACTGAAACAAAATAATAATTTAGGTTCATAATGACATCAGAAATTTTACAATTG